AGCCCTCTCCTGTCTCACCCCAGCCTGTGGTTTCCGTCAGAAATCCTGGAGGCCGGGAGAGCGTGGGAGGCGGCTCGGTGCTGCCCAGTGTTGGGAAGGGCTCAGGGACCAGGGAGCTGTTCGTCACGTCCCCTTTCCTGTTCGCAGGGCCGTGGGAAACTCCCGGGCTCTCGGAACAGATTAGAATCTCTTTGTTCTGCCGGCCACATGGAGCTTCCTGGGCAGTGCGGAGATGCGAGGCTTCCTTGGGGTCCTCAGAACACGGAGCTGCACGCGTTGACCCGTATTCGGCACGTGGCGTTCGGACGTGGACAGGCGCTAGCCAACAACCCGCGGTGTGTACACTCGACTCTGAACAAGCTCTCACCAGCATTCAGCTCTGCAAGCAAAACAGCGGAGTGAAGAGGAGCCGTGGCTGCACGAGGCCCACGGAGCGCCACAGGAAGTGCCACGGAGCCTGCACAGAGGCAGGCGAACGCCCGCTCCCGGCTTTAAGCCAAAAAGAAAACCCCAGAGCCAGATAATTTTTGTAAAAATAAATAAATTAGTCTGACAAACACCTCGCGAGCCCTCCAGTAGCCGCCCGCAGGGAGTTGCTGTGTGCCCTCCCGGGACCCTGCCATGGGGGACCTGTGCCGTAGCCACTAAGCTCTGCTGCAGCGAGAGCTGGAGAAGTGGGGGGGGGGCGGGAGAAGGGGGGGCAGGAGAAGTGGAGGGGGCTGCGAGAAGCCGAAGGGGCTGGGAGAAGTGGAGGGGGCTGCGAGAAGCTGAGGGGGCTGGGAGAAGCCAAAGGGGCTGGGAGAAGTGGAGGGGGCCAGGAGCTGAGGGGGCTGGGAGCAGAGGGGGTTGAGAGACATGGAGGGGGCCATGAGAAGCTGAGGGGACTAGGAGAAGCTGAGGGGGCTGGGAGAAGTAGAGGGGACCTGGAGAAGCTGAGAGGGCTGCGAGAAGTAGAGGGAGCTGGGAGAAGCTGAGGGGGCCGGGAGAAGCAGAGGGGTCTGGGAGAAGTGGAGGGGGCCAGGAGAAGCTGAGGGGACTAGGAGAAGCTGAGGGGTCTGGGAGAAGCGGAGGGGGCCTGGAGAAGCCGAGGGGGCCGGGAGAAGCAGAGGGGACTAGGAGAAGCTGAGGGGACTAGGAGAATCCGAGGGGGCCTGGAGAAGCCGAGGGGGCTGGGAGAAGTAGAGGGGACCAGGAGAAGCTGAGGGGGCCGGGAGAACAGAGGGGTCTGGGAGAAGCGGAGGGGGCCTGGAGAATCCGAGGGGACTAGGAGAATCCGAGGGGGCTGGGAGAAGCCAAGGGGGCCGGGAGAAGCGGAGGGGGCCGGGAGAAGCTGAAGGGTCTAGGAGAATCTGAGGGGACTAGGAGAATCCGAGGGGGCCGGGAGAAGCAGAGGGGACTGGGAGAAGCCAAGGGGACCGGGAGAAGCTGAGGGGTCTACGAGAATCCGAGGGGGCCGGGAGAATCCGAGGGGGCCGGGAGAAGCCGAGGGGGCTGGGAGAATCTGAGGGGACTAGGAGAATCCGAGGGGGCCGGGAGAAGCCGAGGGGGCTGGGAGAAGCTGAGCAGGCCGGGGGAAGTGGAGGGGCCGGAGCCCATGATTCACCCACGCACACGTCTGCTTCCAGTGCTGTCAGAGCAGAGGGCGCGTTGCCAAATCTGTCTCACGCAAGATCTCCCGCGCCAGAGAGTCGACGGTGAAGCTTTTAATTTTCACAAATTTACTTTTATTTCGGAAAGTACTAATTTCATTATGGAGCCAAAGGTAACCAACACTGGGTTATGCAGATTAGCCAGGTCTAAGGTCGACGTCTCCAACTGTGAAAACAGGCACGACTGACAGATTTGCTGATTTCCTGCCCCGGGGATGCTGGCGTGGCCGCAGGCGCCACGCGCCACACGCCACACGCCACGCGCCACGCGCATGGGCCGGCCAGGCAGAAGCCTGCTCCGCGTCCCCTCCCCAAGCGTGGTGGCCTGCGAGGACAGCGGCTCATCCTGCCCCTCACAGCACATTCCAGACCACACGCGAGGCCGCCGGGAGCGCGGCCTTCTCAGTGCACGTAACGGACACGTCTTTTGGTAAAACCGACTATTTTAGCAACAAAATCTGACAGAAAAGATGTCGCTGTGAAGCTATTGCAACTTGGATTTCAGTTAATTCGTGAATCCATTTCCACAAAACAAGCCCTACTCTGAACACTGCAGGTGCACGACCAAGACGCGAATCGGAAAACCCTCCTCCGCCACGCGCGGCTCTGGGAGGCGCCAGGGCGAGGCGGGGGCGGGGGCGCCAGGGGGGCAGCCCCCTTCCCCAGGGGGACCCTGAGCCCTCGCGCGGCTCCGCCCCTGCGCTGCTCTCTCGCTGAGCCCGGAATCGCGGCTTCTGGCTCTCGGTCCGCAGGGAGCGTGGACCTGCGGCTCACGGCGCGAGTCCCTGCCCTGCGCCCCCCCGCCGCCGGCCGTGGCCCAACTCCGCCAGTCTGGGAAGCTGGGGCCTCAGGCACTTCAGGAGGGGGCGCCTCTCCCTGACCGTGCAGTCGGGGAGCGGGCACAGGATGGCCGAGCCTCCCCCCACCCGGCGTGGGGCGTGACACCCCCAGGACGGAACCACGGCCAGGAAGTCGGAGGGTCAGGGGTCAGTTCTGGAGGCTTCTGGCCCTCATCAGCCTGGCCCCAGCCCTGCCGGTCGCGGTGCCCAGGGGGCAGCATGGAGCTTCCCCTGTTGGCACCCTGGTCCTGGCTGTCCCCCCTTCACTGCAGGAGAGCTGCCCTCACCTCCGCCCTCTGCCCCCACGGTGGGCTCAGCCAGGTCCAGGCCTGTTCTTCCTGAGCACCCCTCCCCCACCCCGCCCGCCCGCCCGCCCCACGCCTCACTCCGCCTCGCGGCCATGGCCAAGTCCAGCAGGGCCACAGCGGAGCCCCAGAGTGGAGGACGCCAGCCCCCGGCCTCTGAGGCTGCTTGCACCAGGCGCTCTGCCCGCAGCCTGCAGACCCCCGAGGGCGGGGCCCCAGCCCCCATTTCCCCGGTCCTCAGGCCCCCGGCCCAAGGCTCCTCTCGGGCGGCCCAGCTTCCTGGATGCAGGCAGTGCGTTCCCGGGGTTCCCTCAGACAGCTGAGCATCCCGGCGTCGGTGTCGGCGTCGCGTCTCCCCACCAGCCTGGGAAGGGTGCCGGGTGCTGGGGAAGCCGGCGTGGTGCACCCGCGGAGCCGGGGGTCCCCGTGCAGCTTGCTGTGCCACCGCTGGCCGCCCGAGCCGTGGATCCCTGACCCTGCACCACCCGAGGGGGGGGCGGCTCTGCCCTGCTCCTGAGCCGCCGACTCCAGGGACCGTTCCGTGACAGAGAGGGTGTCCCCCAGGCGCTGCCCGCCACGCTCTGTGCCCATCCTGGGCCTCTCCTGCCGACGGGGAAAGGGGAACAACACGTCCCTGGCCTCACGGCCCACCCAGTGCATTTTGGTGAAAGACTCGGGGCCCATTCCTCGGAGACCACCGAGAGCGGGGACCCGGCGCAGAGGAGCCCTGCTCTGCCGGCAGGAGTGCGGCCGAGGCCCCGCTGCCCCCGCCGGCCGCCTTGCTCGCGGCCCCTGGGCCCTGAGGGGGAAGCGCTGGCCTTGGGCACCACCTGGCAACCTCAGCGGGAGCTGGGGCAGGCAGGGGGTCCCGAGCCCGGGGCCACAGACACAGCCCCCAGCGGAGCAGGCAAGGAGGGGCCCGGCAGCAAGGCCCTCCAGGCGGCCTCAGCTTCCATCTGAAGACGTGGACACAGGCTCCGATGCGGCCACGCGTGGCCTCCACGGCGCTCTGGAGACCCCTTGCCCATGCCACACGTGCAGCCACGCTGGTGACGGGCAGAGCCGGCAGGGAAGGGAGAAGGATGGGCGCGGGCAAATGGGAACGGACTCGAACCCGAGGAACCCGCACACGGCCGACGTGCTTCCAGGCCTCAGCCTGGCCCAGGGCCGCTGCTGCTGCTCCGCGTGCACCGTGCGTGCGTGTGTCACGTGTGCTGCAAACGTGGTGCAGCTACAGTGTGAGTGTGCTGCATGGGATGTGCACGGTGCACACGGGATGTGTGTGCTGCATGGGTGTGTGTGTGGCGTGCATGCTGGTGTGTGGGGTACGTGTGTGGTGCCCAGTGTGCACGCTACACGTGTAGTGTGGTGCGTGATGTGGGGGTATGTGTGGGGCATGCGTAGTATGTGTGGTGTGTGTATGATGTGTGGAGGGTATTGTGATACACGTGTGGTGTCTGTGTTGTGTGGGGTGTGATGCACGTGTGTGGCGTGTGCGCTACATCTACAGTATGTGTGTTGTGTGTACAGTGCTGGTGTACAGTGTGGGAGAACATGTGTGATGCATGTGGTACACGGTGTGTGTGCTACACGTGCAGTGTGTGTGGTGTGTGATATGTCTGTGTATCGTGGGGTGTGACACATGTGTGGTGTGTGATATGTGTCTGTGTATCGTGTCGGGGGTGTGACGCATGTGTGGTGTGTGTGCTACACGTGCAGCGTGTGTGGTGTGTGATGTGTGTCTGTGTATCGTGTCGGGGGTGTGACGCATGTGTGGTGTGTGTGCTACACGTGCAGCGTGTGTGGTGTGTGATATGTCTGTGTATTGTGTCGGGGGTGTGACGCATGTGTGGTGTGTGTGCTACACGTGCAGTGTGTGTGGTGTGTGATATGTGTCTGTGTATCGTGTCGGGGGTGTGATGCATGTGTGATGTGTGTGCTACACGTGCAGCGTGTGTGGTGTGATATGTCTGTGTATCGTGTCGGGGGTGTGACGCATGTGTGGTGTGTGTGCTACACGTGCAGCGTGTGTGGTGTGTGATGTGTGTCTGTGTATCGTGTCGGGGGTGTGATGCATGTGTGGTGTGTGCCACACGTGCAGCGTGTGTGGTGTGTGGACCTGGGCGGCCCGGCCTCCTGAGTGCGGTGCTGGCTCAGTGGCCACCCGAGGGCAACGAGACCGGAACATAAAGAACCATGGACACTGATTCCATCCAAGTTCCAGGAGACGTGAACAAAGGAAAAACAATAAATAAAACAAAAGAAAAATATAGCCCTTTGTGACAAAGGGCATGCTGGGAAGGCGAGAGCCAGGACCGCCTCCCCAGGGCATGCTGGGAGTACGGGTTCCCGAGCCCCTTCCCCAGAGCATGCTGGGAGGATGGGCTCAGAGCCGCCTCCCCAGAGCATGCTGGGAGGATGGGCTCAGAGCCGCCTCCCCAGAGCATGCTGGGAGACAGACCCCAGTGCGTCTCCAAAGACCACACTTCCTCCAGCTCCCGCCCCTGCTCCCCCCAACCCACCCCTCCCGGGGACCAGAGGAAAGTCTGTGCAAGACGCCCCGGCCAGGAGAGCCCCGGTTCTCGAAGGTCCGCGTCCCGCCGAGGGGGTGGAGCAGCGGCGGGCCGGAGGCGCTAGCCGGAGGCGTTGATGTACAGCTGGCTCTTGAGAATGTAGTCGATGACGGGCTGGGACAGGTAGTCCACGACGTGGCCGTCCCCGTGCTGCAGGGCCAGCCTGAGGGAGAAAGCCGGGTCAGTCGGGCGCGCGCCCCAGCTGCCTGCTATCCGAGAGGGGCCCCCAGAGCCGCCCACGCCCCCCAAGGCAGGAGCCGAGCTGCTCACGCCCCGCCGAGGCAGGAGCCGAGGCCCCTGCCCCCTTCCTCCGCCCAGTGGCCGCCCGTGGCCTCGGCGCCGGCTCCCTCTCTGGGAAGTGAGGCCACGCAGCCCCCAGGTGGACAAGAGGCGCTCCTGGGCTATGCAGGTGGAGCACACCAGGCACACAGCCCCACTTTAACGCATCGGGTATTCTTTAAAAACCAAACACCTGGCCAGCACCGCGGCTCACTAGGCTAATCCTCCACCTTGCAGCGCCGGCACAACAGGTTCTAGTCCAGGTTGGGGCGCCGGATTCTGTCCCAGTTGCCCCTCTTCCAGGCCAGCTCTCTGCTGTGGCCTGGGAAGGCAGTGGAGGATGGCCCAGGTGCTTGGGCCCTGCACCCCATGGGAGACCAGGAGAAGTACCTGGCTCCTGCCATCGGATCAGCGCGGTGCGCTGGCCACGGTGGCCACTGGAGGGTGAACCAACGGCAAAGGAAGACCTTTCTCTCTCTCTCTCTCACTGTCCACTCTGCCTGTCCAAAAAAAAAAAAAAAAAAAAAAAAAACTCCACTGGAAAGACAGAGGGGCAGAGAACTCCCTCGGGGTCTCCCACACGCCTGGCACCTGCGCCATCACTGTCGCCTCCCAGGCACGGGGGCAGGGAGCTGGCCAGGCAGTGCCGGGCGGGTTGGAGCCCAGGCAATCTGACCCGAGATGCGGACGCCCACGCGCCAGCGCTCACGCCCGTGCATCCACTTTAGACTCGCATTCCCCTGACCAGCGGCGCTGGTGCCCATTCTCGGTCCTGCGGAGAAGCGTCCAGCCGAGTCCTGAGCCCGTTCTCCCCCGAGTTCCGCTGTCTTGCAGTTGAGCTGTCCACGTCCTTCCTACATCTTGGTCAGCAGCCCCCATCGGCTACGTGGTCTGCAGACATTTCCCCGGCTGTCTTGCCATTTCACTGAACCAAGTTTTCCACTCTGCTTTCGCACCTGGGCTGCCGGGGGACACCCCGGAGCCCGCTCACGCCGAGGCCGCCCGTGCCTAGCTTTTTCTCAGGCAGGGTTTGCGATCATTCTTCAGGAAGCTGGGCTACTTGTCGGGGTCTTTGTTCTTCGGGACACCGGCATCTCGGAACGGCCTCGGCCACACGTGCCCCGCCCCTCCGGGCTGGTCTCCAGAGACCCCCCCCCCCCGCAGGAGTCCTTGCTGCGAGCCGAGGTGGCACCCCCAGCGCCCACACACTCACGTTTCTGCACAGGCTTTCTCTGGCCGTGGCCCGGCTGCTCCCTGCCCCCTCCCACAATGCTCTTGGGAACGGCAGGCTCCGAGGAGCGTTGCTAAAAATCCCCACTTCCTCCAGACGCCCAGATTCCAGCGCACCCGGAGCTCGCGCCCCGGACAGCTTGCCCTGGGCTCAGGGTGCAGTCTCACGGCTCCTTCCTTCTGCTCCCAGAACCCCAGCCGGGGCCAGGCGGCCATGCGAGGCGGTCTCTCAGCAGCAGCCTCGCCCCCGGCCGGGCACTGTCCCCTTGCAGGGACCTGGAGGGGCTGGAGGCCCAAGCCCTTCTGACTTCAGCAACAAGGAAGCGCACACCCAGTTCACTTCAGACTCTGAGGACGGCCCACTTCCTGCACAGGCAGCTTAGCTCACCGCTTAGCAACACGCACACGGCCAGCCCAGAGCCAGGAGCCCACCCCTCCCCTCGCGGCTGCACAGCGAGCGGGCAGCGGACGCACGACACGCACCTGCTCTTGGTAGAACTGACCGCGGACATGGGGTGGTTCACGTCGTCCTTTACCACCAAGATGTTGCTCTGGGGAGAGAGCAGAGAGCAGGTCCAGGCCCGCCCAGCACCTCCGGGCCCCGCCCCCCAGCCCGGGTGTCCAGCAGGCCCCGGGCGGACACGCACTCTGTACTTGCGCAGGATGGAGGAGTGGTTCATGATCCGGTCTGTGTCGGCGGCGTCTCGCGGCACCACCACGATCCCGAAGTCCCCAACGATCACCTCCATCTGTGGGAGAGCCGCGACTCAGCAGGGACCCAGGTTTCAGCCCGAGTGGCCTCAGCAGTGAGTGGGAGCCCCGGCCGGCACACGGGGGCCTGACCGTGGCCTGGAGGACGCACACACCCCGCAGAGCCGCCCAGCGCTGCCGCCCAGCGGGACCGACGCGGGCCCTCACCTGGAGAGGCCCGGGGCTGATGGGGAGGGACCGGAAGGCTCCTGGCTGACCGCCTGGCCGCTGCTGTGGCCCAGCCACAGGCACAGTGGTGCCGGCGGTGCGACTGCGTGCACAGGCAGGGACGGGGAGGTGGCGGCGATGACCGGGTCGCCTTGGAGGTCAGCCTCAGATCGAAGCTTGGTGCCAAGACAAATGCAACCTCTTTTCATTAAAAACAAACCCGGACTTTCGTTTTCGTTTTCTGACTACGGATGCAAGAAAGCTTGGAAAATCCGGAAAACTAAAACAGACACCAGTGACAGCCACAGACCCCACGCAAGCGCGGCCGGCGCCTCAGTGCCCGTCCTGCAGCGCCTCCTCTCTGCCAACAGGCACGGGGGGCCGGGAAGCACCTCTGGTTCTCTTCACCTGGCCACAGCAGGCACTTCCTGCCATGCTCAGTCTGCCAGTCTGTCCACTCCCCCGTCCGGCCGCATGCAGCTCTCGCCAGCCTCACCTGGGCTGTGCGGCCTGCAGTTTCCTCTGCTGTCCTGCACGCACACGGGAACCGTCACCACCGCTCCTCCTCCCCCCAGGCTGGATAAAGGGACGTGAACTGGGCGTGTGGCGAGCACCCCTCCCCCCAGGCTGGATAAAGGGACGTGAACTGGGCGTGTGGCGAGCACCCCTCCCCCCAGGCTGGATAAAGGGACGTGAACTGGGAGTGTGGCGAGCACCCCTCCCCCCAAGGCTGGATAAAGGGACATGAACTGGGCGTGTGGCGAGCTCCCGCGGCTCAGCACCCAGAGCTCGCTGCAAACCCCCCAGGCTCCATCCTCAGAGGGTCTGAGCAGGACGCATCCGGCTGCACCTGCCTGGGCACCTCCGCTCCAGGTCCTGCCAACCAGGGACTCGGGTGGGTGGGGGCTGCTGCACCCAGCAGGACCTGCTCGGGGGAACGGGGCCCAGGATCTCCACAATTCTCCAGACGACACCACAGACACAGACACGGAGCCAGGGGTCCCTTCCTATCCGCCAGGCGACTTGTGTCCCGGCAGAATTCCATTTCCTGGCCTGGTTCACTGGTTGTGTGTGTGCATATCTATGTGTCTGTATGTACATGTGTAGTGTGCACACATGTGAGTGGAATGCATGCATGTTTGCACATGTGAGTGCTATGTGTGCATAGCAATGCATATGTTCATGTGTGTGCACTGCAAACTTTGTATATGTATATATGTATGCATACATGTGATCACTGCATGTGTGCAAACATTGTATGGGCACATGAGTGAGCACTGTATTTGCATGTGTGTGCCACGTGTGTGCATGTATGGGCACGTGTGAGCACTGTATGTGCACGCACACCCATGTGTGCGCGTGTGTGAGCACGGTGTGCGTGTGCACACACGCATGTGTCCTGGGCTGTCTCTGCCTCCCCTTGCTTTCAGCCGCACCTAGAATTGCAGCCAGAACTCTGACGGTGCTGACGAAAGAAGCCGGCCAGCAGCACCCTGGGGGGAAGCCATGGAGACGCCAAAAGCTGGGGCAGAAGATCAGCGCCCCACCGGGCCAGGCCCCTGGGAGGCAGCGCCCACACAGCACGCTGCAGCTGGGGTGGCCCTCGGGCCGAGTGACCGGCACCAGGCCTTCTGTCCCGTAACCTGGGAGCTCACTCATTCCACCTGTTCAGGTACGGAAGCCCAGCGGGGCCCGAAGACGAGGATGGAGACCACAACGCCAGGGTGCAAAGGACAGAAAGCGGTGGCCGGACGCCAGAAACAACGCCGCAGACAGACGCGCCCGTCCGCCCGTCCTCACCCGCCGTGCTCCTCAGCAAAGTGACATCGGTGAGGATGCCCAAGCTGCAGCCAGGCAAACCCCGGAGCAGGCCGGGAAGCTGCTGGGGTGGAGCCCCCCTCAAGTCTGAGGGGCTGAGGGCTGGGCCGCCGGGGCAGGAACCTGCTTAATATTCCGGCTCCTAATCCCGACAGACACAGTCTCCCGACACTCACACGGTCTCCCGACACACATGGAGTCTCCCGACACACATGGAGTCTCCCGACAGTCACACAGTCTCCCGACACACACGGAGTCTCCCCCCACACACACAGTCTCCCGACACACACGGAGTCTCCCCACATACATACAGTCTCCCGACACACACATAGTCTCCCGACACTCACACAGTCTCCCGACACACATGGAGTCTCCCGACAGTCACACAGTCTCCCGACACACACGGAGTCTTCCGACACTCACACAGTCTCCCGACAAACACGGAGTCTCCCCACACACATACAGTCTCCCGACACACACACGGTCTCCCGACACTCACACAGTCTCCCGACACACACGGAGTCTTCCGACACTCACACAGTCTCCCGACACACACGGAGTCTCCCGACATACACACAGTCTCCTGACACACACGGAGTCTCCCAACACAGTCTCCCTACACACAGTCTCCTGACACACACACAGTCTCCCCACACACGCGGAGTCTCCTGACACACATGGAGTCTCCCCACACACACAGAGTCTCCCCCCACACACAGAGTCTCCCGACACACAGTCTCCCCACACACACGGAGTCTCCGCTGTGGGAAATGCGAGTGAAGTGAACTCCTCGACAGAACACAGGTTCCCGGCCCCGCACAGACCTTGGCGCGGGCACCGAGGCTGCAGCCTGTGCTGGCCGGGCTCCTCGTCGCCGGCAGCTGGCCTCACAGGTGGGGCGTGGGACCCTCATCCCACTCCGGCTTCCTGCTCACGGCGCACCGAGTCCGTCTTCCCACCTTGCTGTCACAGGCTCCCCAGGGAATGGGATCCCAGGGACAGATCTGAGACTCGCTGAGGCCGGGGCATCTGGACCCTGGCGGGAACGCTCCTGCCCCAGGCAGCAAAGCTGTGGAGGGCCGTGGGCTCTCACCCTCCCCAGCCAGCTCCAAGCTGGGCCGTGCCAGGCTCTGGGTGCCCGTGAGCCAGTGCTTAGCCAGGTTCTTTCCGACACGAGGGCATGCGGCTGCGCTCAGCAGAAGTGGCTGCGTCTTCGGTAGCTCGCTGTCCACTGGCAGACACAGAACAAGCGACTGTTCCAAACCACGCCGGCACTACGGGGAGAAAGCAGGTGCTGAGAGCTGTCATGGCCAAGTGCCCCTCGCCAGGAGGAGCCCGCCGACGTGTGGTCCACGTGACTGCCAAACCACCAGCTGTCCCCAAGCCTGGGCCGCTCCTCTACCGAGCACGCACGGTGAGCCAGGTGGGACTGGAGCAGGGGGGCAGGGGACGGCAACAGGGACCGGATGGTGCTGAGCACAGGTGTCAGCTGCAGGCGCTGTGGTGCAGGGATTAAGCTGCCACGTCCCGTGTCCGAGTGCAAGTTCAAGTCCTGGCTTCCAATCCAGCTTCCTGCTGATGCACCCAGAGTCAGCAAACGATGGCCCGAGCCCGTGGAGCCTGCCTCCCACGTGGAGACCCAGGCGGAGCTCCTGCCCTGGCTGCTGCACGCGTTGGAGGAACGAACCAGCAGGTGGGAGAGCTCTCTCGCTCTGCCTTTCAAATACACAGATGTTCTTTTTCTAAGATGGGTCTCACTCCAAGGCAAAGAGAAGTCAGCAGGGCGATGCAAACGGCTGGCCCTCCACTGGCCACAGGATGCGGTCCACGACGGCCAAGAGCGCCCGAGGTCCGTGAGGTCAGGTCTCCTGTCTCAGAGCACGTGCGCCAGCGCCCGGCCAGCTGCGTCTCTACCCAGGGGCCAACTGAGGCCATCAGGGAGGAAGGAAGCAGCATTTCCCAAGGCGCCTGCCACGCAGCAGGCACACGCTAGAGCTCCGTTCACGCCCACACTCGGTCCACACGGCAGCCGCGCTCTGATCCACGCCTGCCCCTCGGCGGGGACGAGCGCACCTGCTCCCGCGTGCACCTGTCCCACGCCTCCTCCACATCCGTCTGGAGACTGATTTAGTGACCTCAAAAGTTTTTGGCTTAAAAACATTTGATTTGGGGGCCGGCACTGGGCTTACTGGGTAAAGCCGCCACCTGCAGTGCTGGCATCCCACATGGGCGCCAGTTGGAGTCCTGGCTACTCCACTTCCCATCCAGCTCTCTGTTGTGGTCTGGAAGAGCAGTGGAGGATGGCCCAGGTCCTTGGGCCCCTGCACCCCCATGGGAGACCTGGAAGAAGCTCCTGGCTCCTGGCTTTGGATCAGCTCAGCTCCAGTCATTGCAGCCAATTGGGGAGTGAACCAGCAGATGGAAGACCAACCTCTCTCTCTTTCTCTCTCTCTCTGCCTCTCTGTAACTGTGACTTTCAAAAAAAATAATTTTTTTTTTGAAAAAACACCACACATTTGATTCGAGGCTATATTCTGGGTTATTTTTCCTCCAGGCTTCCCACCAGGCGCTAAGTCAATTCCTGGCCCTGATCACGCCCAGAGCATGTGGTCTCGTACAGGCCCTGGGGTTAAGGGCGTGGCTCCCAGCAGAAGGCCCCTGGGAGACAAGGCGCATCCATGCCTTGGCTGGACTTCCAAGCGTCCCTCAGAAACTCTGAAGTCCACACGTGAATACAGCGCTGAGCGCTCAGCTCCGACACCCCCGCCCCCAACGCCAGCAGCACCTGGAATCTACTCCGGCCCCCAGTTTTCCTACTGCAGGTTGAGCGCGAGACCCTATCCCAGGCACCGGTGCTTGGCAGGCCTGGAAGGCCGCGCGGGGCAGGAGGGGCACTGGAGGGGCACCTGGGCTCACAGTATCCGAGGGTCGAGGGTCGTTCAGAGGGGCTCCCAGTAGAAGCCACCCCAGTGCCCACCGTCAGCAGGAAGAGGGGGGAAGGCAGGGGAGCCCA